CGATTACAGGTACTGTACAATGAGAAAATAACTTGCAGTAGTGGTCTTCATGAAACACTACTGACACTATTCGCATTGTAGAAAGTTCACCAATCAGGTGGAGCACTCATTACTGAAATCCAACAGGTATGAGTGCAATTAGATAATAGCGTTGCAGGAGTATGACATAGCCATACTGCATCATATAGGCCTGCAACATGCAAATACCAACAGGTTGTCTTGCCAAAAAGATAAATAAAAAATTGGAAATTTAAAAACCTGCAAACAGAGATCATTAAAAATGTAAGAAACAGGACTGGAGATACTGTAGTCTTTACTTACTCAAACTACAAACCCCTATTTTGGCTCCATCCTGTTAACTATAATTACAATTGGTGGAGTAAAAATACGATATGTAGTTTGAGTAAATAATGTCTACAGTATCTCCAGCCTTCTTTCTTTACCTCTTTATGCTCCCTATTTGCAGGTTTTTAAATTCCCATTTATTATTTGTTGTCATTTTTATGCTCAACTATGTGCAAAGGATTACTTGATATGGTAGCTAACAATAGATTGTTATGACAATAAACATAACTACTAGCTAGCTGATACGGTTCTTGATGATTTACTGTAGCTATTGACTATTTGATCACATTGGTTCAAGATGTAAAATGTTAAGCTGCAGCTTTGTCTAAGAATATAGTGAACATTTATAGTTATTGTGTAACCAAATCCTCTATATATAATGCAAATCAATGGGCAAATATATGCCTAGACTAAGACACAACTTCCACTAAGTGCTTATAAGATTTTACCAGTAGAAAAGCAGTCTTCTCAAATAAAAGACATGCATCTAAAACATCGCCTTAAATAACCCTTCGTGTCTTTTATGGTAATTATTCTACAAATGTGTGCAATAAAATTTAATATTGTGTGTATTGATTTTTTAACTCCTTTACTTCACACATAATATAGGTTTGGCCCTTAAAAGATACCAATATTATAGTGTACACAACACTGAGTATCTAGATGTTACAATCATCTTATGTTCATCTATTATTGACTGGTAATTCCAGTTTCATCCTGTACTTAAGCTTCTTAAAGGAATACCAGATATTTGTAAGAAAGCTAACTTCAAAGGGTAATGATAAAATCATTTACACTAGAATTATGATGCTTTTTTTAGCATATGTAAAATATACAACACACAAATCGACTTTTCAATACCTCTACGACCTTCAAAGTACCTTATTTAGCATTCTACAAAAGGTTTGGTGCAATATACCAAGCCGTTTTTGCTGTAAGCTAGCAAAAGAAATAATAATGTTTGATTTGGTAGATTCGTTCTAAGTATTGGATAGTTTATTTTTTCTGGATTTTTTTAACGTGTATAGCTTTTAGTATTACAAAGGAAGATTTTTAGTGTTGTTTCAGGAATGAGTTTATGTTTTCACTGTGTGCTCTATTAGTGTTTTGTCAATTCCTATTATGAACCACTATCATGTTCATGATGATGAGACCTTGTTCATTTGTTGAATATCCTGATCCTGAACACCATGTGGGAGCTGAGTGATACCAAGTCATACATAGGTGATTCCACTAATGGATGGATACCACAATTAACACATTGAGAGTATTAGGAAGAGCAACTGAAAGACCCAGACCTAGCTGTACAGCAAGGTGGAGATCCACCAATGCAAATTGAGGAATGTAGCTCAAATGCACATAACTTATGGCAAGTATATGAATAGTTGCAAGCGCAGGAAGAAGTTGTGCTGCAGCTAATATTCCCTAGAGCTCCAAGGCAAGAAATTATCTAGACTTTGAATGAAACAAAAAGTGAAGGGCATCCAGTGTTACACACACCTGTGTTGACATTTTACAATGGTTCTTCTGGTTCCATTCTAGTTGACATATGCACAAATGGTGTATGCCATTCAGATTAAAAGTCTGCCTAAGTTAAGTCAAACAGAGAAAACTGGTTCAGCTCTGTAGAGAACAGCCCTATTTCATTCAAATATTGTTCCATTTTACAATATGTTGTATCTAGTATAATTCATTATTCAAACTCATTCAGAGTCAGAAAAATCAGATTTACCCCATAAAACCTTTTATTTTGTGGAACTTACCTTATTATTCTTAAGGGAAATCAGTGCATCTGAGAAAGCCACAAATTTTACTGAATGATAATAAAAAAAACAACACTGAAACATTTTCTTTATATGATCATTCATTGTATGAAAAATGTTTTGAAAGAGCTTTTTCAAAACATAAAACCACTTAATCTCACAAACTTTCTACCACACACTATCTTTAGATACATTCTAAAATCCAAAGAGGGCATAAAGAGAATTTTAAAGTATATACAATACAGAATGTATATATATATATATATATATATATATACA